GAATTGAATAGTTCTGATCCAGATGATTCTTGTGATGATGAAAGGCCCAAGTATGAGAGGTATAAGAAAGAGCACCTAAATAAAGACTTTAAATTTAAGTGGGACATGGAATTTAATTCCCTTAATGACTTTAGGGAAGCAATTTGGGAGTGGTCGGTGCTAAATGGGGGAGAAATTACTTTTATGAAAAATGAGCCCATAGGATAAGGGTAGTGTGTAAGGCTAAATCTGGGTTTTTAGTCTTATGCTCTAAGGTGGGCCACCAACAAATCTTTGCTATAAAAACACTTGTAGATACCCATACATGTTCTAGGGTTTTGAATAATAAGTCTGCAAGCTCAAAGTGGATGGCCAAACATGTGGTAAAGAGGATGAAAACTTGTGATACAATTATGATAAGAGATATTATGCAGGATATTAGGCAAAAACATTTAGTGGGTATAAGTGTTGCAAGAGCGTGGTGGGCTAAGTTAATTGCAAAGAAGATAATTGAAGGTGATACTGATAATCAGTATGCTTCTATATGGAGGTATGCATCTGAGTTAACAAGGTTAAATCTTGGAAACACTGTCAAGATTAATGTTGAGAGACCTTGTCCTTCCATACAACCAAGGTTTGGGTCGTTTTATTTCTGCTTTGATGGCTGTAAGAAAGGTTTTATTAATGGATGTAGACCTTTTGTGGGGGTTGATGTATGTCACTTGAAGACCAAGTATGGTGTACAATTACTAATTGTTGTGGGTAGGGGTGCAAATGACCAATACTTCACTTTGGCATTTGGTTTGGTTGAAAATGAAACAAAGGAGAGCTAGAGATGGTTTATACAACTATCGATGGAAGATATTGGACATTATAGAGAAATGTATTTATCTCTGATCAATAGAAGGCATGTATTAATTGTTGCAAATTTTCATTCAAACTTTCATTACATTCTAACTTTTTTAATTATTGAAAATGTTCATTCTCTTTTGTTTCAGGGGCTTGTGCCTGTATTTGATGAAACATTTGACAAGATTGAGCATAGATTGTGCCTCAGGCACTTATATGCCAATTTCAAGAAAAGGTTTGGTGGTGGATCCTTTATTAGGGATTTTATGATGGGAGATGCTAAAGCCACTTACTATCAAGCATGGGTACAAAAGATGAATGAGATGAAGAATGTAGATCCAAATTCTTAGAGTTGGTTGATGGTAGTGCCTCCCAAGAGTTGGTGTAAGCATGTCTTCACTTTTTATCCAAAATGTGAAATTTTGAGGAATAATATACCAGAGTCTTTTAATGCTACCATTCTAGTTACTAGAGACAAACCTATATTGACTATGTGTGAATGGATAAGAAAATATCTTATCAATAGATTAGCTACATCTGCTGATGAACTATAAAAGTGGCCACATAAAGTGATGCCAATACCTATAAGGAGGTTAAATAATGAAGTGTTCAATAGTGGACATTGGTTGCCCACTTGGTCCATGGCTGAAACATTTCAGGTTACACATAGCTACAATACTCAAGAGTTTATTGTTGACATTTCTAAAAGGTCTTGTAGCTATAATTTCTGGGAATTAGTTGGAATTCCTTGTAGGCATGTTGTAGCCACTTTGAGTTATAGGAAACAAAACACTGATGAATTTGTTGATGTTTTTTATACAAGAGAAAAATTTGCACAGTGTTATGGTTATTTAGTAAGTCCTATCAATGGACAAGATATGTGGCCAGAAGTTGAAATAGAACCACCTCTACCACCTGCATACAAGATTGGTTCAGGAAGACCTAGGAAGATTAGGATAATAGAAAGTGGAGAAGATGGGGCAAAGAGGAGAAGACCAGGTGTTGAATACAAGTGCACCAAATGTGACAAGTTTGGTCACAATGCATTGACTTGCAAGGCCTTGACATAGGATCCAAATGCACTTAAAAGAAAGGTAATTAGTTTTCTTACAATTGTGTACTTAGTCTCTTGCAGTGATCTAAATTTTTGTGTTATTATTGGTTGTGTAGAGAAAAGGTAAAAAGATACCAAATTCAGACAATGCAGAGACTACAGCAAATTCAGAAACTACAATGCCTATTGAAGTGCAGACTGAGACTGCTATCCCAACTGGTGAACAAACTGAGACTGAAATTGTAGAGCCCTCATTACCAACTATTATGGGTCAAACAGGATCTTGTGTGGTTGACTCAATCAAAAAGCAATCAAAAAAGAAGGAAGGAAAAAAACAGACATTAAAAGAAGGCAAAGTGAGAGGATTAAGTTGAGTTTGTTCAAAAAACCAATTACAGGCAAGGGGTCTTCTAGTGACTAGCCAATTACCATACCAGAAAAGGAAGAAAAACCTTGTTCAAAAGATGTCAAGCTTGGAGTTTCAACTAGGTCTTTGAAGACTTGGAAGACCAAGAAAATGAGAGATTAACGATTATGTTTTGTTGTAATAGATATATAAATCTGCAACTTATGTCTTTTGTGTTTTGTTGGGCATCTATCATGTCATGTATCTGACTTATGCATCAAGTGTGCGTTTTTTGGGCATCTGTTATATTTCTTTCATCTTGTATTATGTTCCTGTTGTGCTATTTTGAAATTATGTAACAGACTTATGCACCAAGTGTGCTTGTATCAATTCTACCTATGTCTTTTGTTCAATGTGATCTGTATCAGTCCTATCAATATTTTATGTATCATACATTTAGGAGAAATGATATATATAATAGCACAATCATATTGAAGTGGTACAAATAACAGAACTTAACATATTGAAATGAAATTGATAACCGAACTTAACATTTCATTCATAATAAAATAGTTGAATTACAATTAGATTTGAAATGGATAACATAACAACTACACTAACTTAACCACAACTGCAAACACCATCCATGACAAACCAATTACTAACATCATCTAGAATTTTTTTCTCTTTTCCATTAGAATCTTTCTCTTAAGTTTTTCTAACTTGTTAAGCCTTCCTACTCTGGAATCAATCTCCTCGACAATCTCTTTTGCTAATTCTATCAAATAAATCTTGTTCGTTTCTCTTTGACAACATCTGGATGGATTAACATCTTTCACTTCAACCAAATCGTCCCACAAGAACAGACCGCAATCATTCTGCAATTTTATTGTAACATGATTAACACATATAAACCGAAAATGTAACTTCAATATGATTACATGCTTAAAATTACTCACCATGGAATTCATACATTTCTAGAATTTTCTGCCTGGATTTTCAACTGAGTTGGAGACCCACATCTTCATGGTTGAGTTGCACCCGCATATTGGCAGACCCTTTCCAACATCATTTGTTGAGGAAGACTAGCTCACACCCATACCCAGATGTTGGTGGACGACTATGAAAGGGGTGGTGGAAGAACATGAAGCAGAGAATATGAAGGGGGCGGCGAACGACAATTGAACCTGAGAAGATGAAGGGGACGATGTTGAACCTGAGAAGGTGAAGGGGACGAAGAAGAAGATAGAATGGGGAACAAAAACCCTAATTTTGAAGAAAACGTGTAACTTATGCCATGTTGTCCAATATGTGTCCAATTCTTTGAAAAAAATATAACAAAGTGCCACGCAAGAATGTATCCGTGAATATTCCATGACACCTAGCTAATGGGGGGCTCTATGAGAGAATCTACATAACATAAAGGGGGGTTTAAAAAAATTTACCAGGGGCTAAAAACAAAATTCGCTAACATTACAGGAGGTTTGTATATTTATCCCTAAAAATAACACTTGAAATAAATGTTTATAACCTTAAAGTAGTTCTCACATAATTTTCAAATATAAGTCACTTTAAACTAGTCTTTAAAAATAATATAGTATGCAACAATTTTTTACGATGTCTTTATACTTTCCTACTATATGTTTCATATAATATCAAATAACAAACTAATGTCAAACAACAAGATATCATACAAAAAAGACGCGAGAATCCAAACACAATAAAATATTTTTTATTTTTCTGAAATTATAACAATAAAAGTAACACTTCAAACAAATATTTTTAATTTTAAAATAATTCTTAGACAATTTCAAAGATAAATTATTACGAGTTGATTTAAAATATAATATAATATATATGCAATAATCTTTTACCGTGTCTATATACTTTACTATTATATTTTTCATATAATTCTAAATTATAAACTAAAAACAAATAATAATATTTATGATTTATTGCATATGAGAATATAGAATTTCTAATTTCTTCAAAGTAATTTATTTTTTTGTTTTATAATTGTGTTCAGAGTGTATAGTAAAAACAACCATAATGTCTAAAAAAAAAGAACATTTTTATTTCAATCGATATCAACGACAAAATCAAATATTTTTTTTACAATCTCAATAATGAAAATTAAAATAATAAATAAAATAATAATAATTATGTTAGTATAGCAACTAACATTTCCAACTCTTCATTCATCAAATAATTAAAGTTTGACAAAATAGACATAAATTTTATAAAATTATGGAAAATTTTATTAGATAATAATTGTAAATAAAAACCGCAATTGACGACCGACTCCAATACAATGAAGGCAACTCAAATGCCGCAATTGACTACCTACTCGAATTAAAGAAGGCATCCAACATGGAAGAATATCAAGTACATATTAAACATGATCTACAAGCAGCATCATGGAGTTGAGAGACTGTTGATATCATAGGACAGTTGATAACAAACACTAAAATCACTTATTTTCAATCCATCATATGCATGCATCATAAGATTTTTCATTCCCAAATTCTAACACCATATCTATCATCTTTGAAAACCAGAGAGTAAGATAATATCACACATTAACCACTGTTAGGTTGTTAACTTGTTTCTATCAAATAAAACATGTATCATGTGAGAACAGTCACAGTTTTTCATACTACACCTACCTACGTGTAAGCAATTAAAACTTAAAGGAGATAGAGAGAGAGAGAGAGATATGGATAGGGAGCAAAAATTAAAAGAGCAAGAGAGCTCCTTATCGCCATGCCGATGCTACTGTGTTGATTCCTCGCCAAAAACCTCAGTGTTGCAGACAGGACATTTCTGAAAAGAACAAGGTAAATGTGATGGCAAATACGAGACCAAAAAAAGGTGCAAATTTTATAGAAACATGGATTCAGTGTGGATTTCAGAATGTGTTTATTAACTACCTTGTTAATGCTAAGCCATTTGGTAATGCATTCGCCGTGATAAACATGGCTGCATGGCAATTTCATTTGCTGGTCGCCTCTTCTGTATGTCATCTGGCAAATTACACACCTGTTTGTTTCCAATGCAATTTCTTTGTGAGTAAAACGAACACAATTGTAATCTACATAGCAATTCAAAATGAACATAAATTTTTAAAAATGTTTAGAAACATCACAATTATCCTCTAATTTTCATTATATTAGCTTTGGTCAGATCACTGATTAAGTTTTATTGAGATTAAGGTTTTGTTCTTGCGCACTCACCGCTTCATATTAATTTTCCACGAACATCATCATATATTCAAGAAAATGGTTGGAAAAATATATATTACCTTTTTCCAGAATTTTTTCTTTTGAATAAGCTACCGAATTTGTATTTCGAGGTTGGAAGTGTATCAATAAGTTCTTGGGAAAGACCTCGGCTTTGAGTTCCAACTGCTTCCCCTAGGTCCAGAAGTTCCTGCACCTTAAAAAAGATATCAATGGCCATTCATATTCTGTTTCTAATTTTATTTTCTTAAGGGTGAAAAAAATTATAAAAACACAAATCAGCATCAAGTTCAAATGCATTTAACTTCAATAATAGATTCGCAAATTTCTCAAAGAATCACTTTGTTTTAAAGCCTTATCCCACTAAGTGGGGTCGGCTACATGGATCAACTTTTGCCATAATGTTCTATCCAGGACCATACTTCTATCCAAATCGTTAACCTTGAGATCTTTCTTAATAACTTAGCATGAATAAATTGCATCTAATGTTTAGTAAATCATAACTATTATAAAAATCAATGATTTGAAAGAACGGAAACAAATTTCAAAACTAAAACTATACATACATATTACAGTTTAACACACCTCATAAGTCATATTGTCGGGATCAATGTTGTCTTGCCATATGACCTGCAGCAACGCATATGCAACACACTGATTAGAAAACTCGGGATAAATTTTGTACTCCTTCTAATCACCAAGTTACAATTTGAAAATAGCATATAGAAGTTAGGGGTAAACTTGTTGAAGTTAAGTAATTAAAATGCAGTGTGATCCCAAGTCCAAACACCATTTTTAAAGCATTCATATCAAATAAGATAGATTATGAAAAAAAAAACAGTAATTTGATATAGTATATGAAATTAAATTGAAGTAGAGAACAGCTTTGACCAGAAAAATACTAAAGGATGGTTTATGTGAAACGTGAAGTTTGTTGATTATATTATGAAAAAACAGTTTTTTATATAAGTTATTCTTAAATCCTGCAAATGTAAACAACTTTGTAACAAAAATACATAAAACATGTTAGCCAAAACAAAAAGTATCATTTGATGCTAAGTGACAAGGAAGGTAGGACTACGAGCACAAGCAAACGACCACGAGAAATGATATTCTTAGAACCTGAGTTTGGCCTAACTCAACCCTCACAAAACTGGCTTGTAAGACGAAGATTGCTCACCACTTATAAACACATTTGCAGGTTATAAAGCAACAACTCACGTGTGATTAATTCCCAAAATTAAAATCACGGGTAGTTTTCCAAAAATTGAGATCATAAGCCGTGTCTATTTACCAAAGCAATAACTATAGAGGTTATTTGTCACAAATTAAAACAACAAGCAAGTTAGTTTCCAAAATCGAAACCGTGGGACTATTTGTTAAGTACTACTCAACTACTAAATTTAATTAACATTTACAGTTAAAAGGTTATTGTATCCAAAAAGATTAGCATTTATGACGAAAAATGCCGTTTAAGGCTAACTGTCTTTCAAACAATGTCCCCCACAATTTCAAGAATTGGGGACCCGATAGTCCTACCATGAACAAATGATTGAATATTAAACCAAAAATGGTTTAGCTAAGGTTTAAAAATTTAGGCCCTGTTAATAACAAGGTTTCCTACCTGGCTACTACTGGACTCTTGATGATTGGGACTACCTGCAGATGAAATTAAAAAGAATTATTACATTATATTTTGATTATCATAACTTTGCTAAATAAATTCACTTCTTAAACAGTAGCATTTAATTCAACTAAGGGGAGAAAAGTATAAAAAGAAGCACTTAAAAAGTTAGCATGATTTGGACTGTCTTCAAAAGTATAAGCTGTTTCTATAGTAAAAGATGAAATAAAGTGAAACTGTTTCATACAAGTTATAAGCTGTGCTATTCTGGGGAGTTTAAGGAAATATGTTGAAAACAGCTTATAGTTTATGTCGTAATTTGTTTCCACAAACTCTCACAAATCGCCTCGCAAGTGTTTATGTCAGTAGATAAACTCAAATGAGTCAACCTAAACAGGTCCTAAAGTAATTCATAATGGCTATTAGGATACAAAAAGTAAATCGTAAAAACTAAAAACCAATGATTTATTTGATCAAAGGCTTATGCTTACGGTAAAATAAAATAAATTTTCTACTAACATTCTTCAGGGATAGTCTGCATGCTAACTCCATCTCTTCTAGGCGGAGAATCTGATGAAGCTGGTTCCTCAGAGATCACTTCAGAAGGGTATTCCCACTCGACCCTGTTGTTCTCCATTCTTGGCAAATGATCATTTACCTCATAAGAACTATAATAAGATGTACTTCCAGGGCCAGACATTCCAAACTTATAGGGACTCATGTTCATTGACCAGTAGACATTATCCTGGACAGAACATATGATTACATAGTTATGATCATGTTTGATTCTAGAACCGTATCGTACTATAAACCACATAGCAAATAGAAAACTACGCATTAATAAAACCAACATAAGATATTTATTTATTTATTAAACATGTAGATTCATATAGTTGACTTTCGCATGACATTAACCTTCCACTGTTGCAATTCAACTCAAAGAAAAGTAATTATCAATTCGTCATTGTCGCGTTACTTTTGTTCTTGATCATCCTATTCGGATTTTAAAACTCGGGAACAAAAAAATAGACCTTACAAGCTCCCGCATCAAACATTATGAGCTTGTTTTTTGGGGTGAACCCTACCTACTCCTAACAGAGGCAGTTTTTTTCGATGAGTCATGGACCAAAGATGGATCCCTCCCAACAAGTGTTGTTAATGACGGTTTTTGCACCATTCCTTAATGAATTGGCAGATTTTTTTTTCAACTCCCATAGACAAGGGATGCCTGCAACGGCGTGTTTACTTGTCGGGTTTTTGGCCTTCTGCCTTGACAACACTGCTACCAACGGAGATGCAAACCGTGGTTCACAATATTCTGAAAGACTCGCCCCTTTTGCTAGACTCAACCATCATTAGAAACACTCTAGTTCGATTATGAAACTGTTGGAAAGTAGTAGCAGCAACAGTTATAATAAGCTAAGAAGCACCGATAAAGACATAGACACTAACACATCGACACCAACAGTAAATTATTAAACGTAACCACAAGTGTCGGTGCCGGAATCGGGGTCAGACACGGCTTCAATCTGAAATGCCAGTACTACAAAGATAACAACATTGCAAATTTCCGATTTTTATTCCCACATTCTGCGATAAACACTAAACAAACTCGAGCAACAACACACATTTCTAGATTCAAATTCACAATAACAAGAACTAATTAAACCTAGTAACCAAAACTACAAAAACCTGATCAGGCATTGAGCCAGGAAATCCATAATTGACAGGAACATGATTAATCCCTTGAAAGAAATCCACAAAGTTCTCATTAACAGCATAAGGAAAACCACCACCATCCATATAATGCACCCCCATTTGTCTACCATCATTCATCTTTGCAATTTCCCAAATCAAAAACAAACCCTTCAAAAAATCAAAACCTGCACAAACACACACAAAAAAACCCCACATTACACATCACCAACCAAACATGCCCTTATACTAAAACACTAATGCTTATGCAACAAACAAAAACAAATCTTAACAAAAAGTACAAACAACAAAAGACCTAACAAATGTTTCATTTGAAATATAAACGTTAATTTATGTTAAAAACAAAACAAAACAAAAAAGTTAGTTAATTTAGAAAGAAAAAAAAACCTTGTTGAGGAATGAAGAGAAATTGAAGAGAATGGTGAAAATTTTAGGAATGTGAGAGAAAAGAGAAGAAAGGGAAAGGGAAGTTGAAGAGGTGATTTAACTGACCTTGTTGTTGTTGTTGTTGTGATATACAGAAATGGCTGGAGTAGCAGAAACCAACCACACCACACCACAGATTTAGTCTCTTTTACTTTTTCTTTGCACTGTGCTCAACAAAACACTTTAAGAAAATACAAACTAAAGTTTCATATTTAAGAATTATTTTCAAAAAAAGAAAATAAGATACAAAAATTAAAATTAAAAATACCTCAACTTACAAGAACCAAAATATTATTTAAATTAAAAATAATATTTATCATGTTTCTTTAAAATAAAATAAGCTTGGCACAAACCTCAAAACTAACGACACTATGTTCCAATAGTTTGTTAATATTTATTATGGGATAAATATTTGAATGTCCTATGGATGGATCAAGTGCCACGAAAGTTAACTTTTTTAATGTTTATTATAAGATAATATATTATTTTTTAATAATGGTTTAATTATCCATAGGTTCCTTATATTTAGTATTAGAGAAGAGAGTAGAGTGCAAGAGACATATATATATATAGTTGAGTTGTTTTACAGTCTGTGACAATATGCATTGCAAGATCAGAAAACAATAAATGCATATTAACATTAGAAAGGAAAAGTGAAAGCATACACGAGAAACTAGAAAGAACAAATATACCAAGACATTAAGATATACTAGTGGTATAGTAATAAATAGTGTACAAATGAATTGAATTGGATATGTGGAAGATGCATTTATGAGTAGGAAAATCTCTGCTGCATGTGACACTACAACAATATGTAAGCCGTACATCTGTGTGTGTTTTCAAAGGCTTTATCAACTACAATACAGATTGTTGACCTAAAATCTGCAAACAGGAATTAGGTCCCCCAACAAACCTAAGCTATAATAAATGGTTGTGTGCATCATAAATAGGGGTAATTAGGTGATTCTCTAGGTTGGTCACATTGAAAGTGTCTTTCTTCGTATAGATGTGAATTTTACTATACTGCATTTTGTTTGGAATAAGCTAAATGGAGGTTGGATTAAATCTAATATTGATGGAGACATTACAAATTATAAAGCTCTTTGTGGAGGGATTTTAAAGGAGAAGTTTGGGTATCTTTTGTATTCTTGAAGTTGTTTGAGAGAAAGATTATATATTTGTTTCGGTTTATCTTATTTAAATTTAGCTGTTGTGTATTTCTTAAAATTTTTGAAGAAAAACATTGAATTATGCCTCTTGCACGAGGCATGACAGTTTTTGTGTGACGCACATGAAGTCGTTTTATATAGGATGTCATCGTGAGAGGTTAAAAATCAATTAGAGGAATTGATCATTAAGGGCTTTGTGAGATCAAGCATCTCATTTTGGGAAGCTTCAGTCTTGTTAGTTAAGAAGAAGGATGGAAGCATGAGATTGTGCATAAAGTGTAAGCAATTGAACAAAGTTACCATCATCAAGAATAAATATCCACTCCTTAGAATATATGCCCTCTTAGAACAACTTGGAGGAGATATTGTCTTCTCTAAGATTGATCTGAGATCGAGATATCATCAAATTTGAATAAAGTCATAAGATACATTGAAAACGACTTTTAGAACATGGTATGGCAATTACGAATTTTTGGGCATGCCTTCAGGTGTGGCAAATGTCCCAGTCGTGTTCATAGATTACATGAATAGGATTTTCCAACCTTATTTGGACCAATTTATAGTGGTTTCCATTGGTGATATCATCATCTATTCTTGGACCCCCCGAAGAGCATGTAGAACACCTTAGAATAGCCTTGCAGGTCTTTAGAGAGAAGAAGTTGTTCGCTAAGTTGAGTAGGCGTGAGTTCTGAATGCAATAAGTAGCTCTTCCTACGAATGATGCCAAGGTCGTAGTGAAATTTCTCAAGAATAACATATTCTCGAGGTTTGGGGTACCGAGAGCTCTGATAAGTGATGAAGGTACCCATTTCTTGAACAAATTGATGGAGAACCTGTTAAAGAAATACAATGTGAAGCACAAGATTGCAACTGTCTACCATCCTCAGACAAGTGGTCAGGTTGAAGTTTCAAACAGGCAAATTAAACAGATTCTAGAGAAGACTGGCAGTGCTTCGAGGAAGGACTTGACAGTGAAGTTGGAAGACGCATTATGGGCATGCAGAACGACATTCAAAACACCAATAGGTATGTCTCCTTATTAGTTGGTTTATGGAAAAGCATGTCATATGCCGCTCGAACTTGAGCACAAGGCATTTTGGGCTTTCAAATCCCTTAATTATGATCTTTTTAAAGCGGGTGAATCCAGAATTCTTCAACTTCATGTGTTAGAGGAGTCCTGGAACCAAGTTATGAGAATGCCAAGATTTATAAAGAAACAACAAAGAAATGGCATGATCAAAAGATTCAGAAAAAGGAATTTTGGGAAGGGCAATTGGTTTTGTTGTTTAATTCCAGGTTAAATCTATTTCTTGGTAAACTAAAATCGAGGTGGTTTGGACTATTCATAGTGAATAAGGTGTTTCCGCATGGGGCTATAGAGCTAAAAAATGACAAGAATGGAGACACCTTCAAGGTCAACGGGAAAAAAGGTTAAAACCTTATTACACTGGATAGAACTCATGGACCATTGATCATCTTCGTCTGACGTGATGAGATGAAGAACCGTCGAGCCATGCGACGTTAAACGAAGCGCTTCGTGGGAGGCAACCCATGATTTTGTTTTACTAATTATTTTTTTATTGATTTATTTATGCAGTTGTGTTTTTTTTTAGGTGGAGTAAGTATGTTACAGCTAAGCAGAGTGAACGGAGAAAAATCTCAAAAGGAGGGGCTTGACACGGGCGACCGTGTGGGATAACACGGTCCGTGTTGGACTGGAATTTTTTCATCCATATATTTTCCAGGGAAGCAACACGGGTGGTCGTGTGAGGCAACACGGCCAATGTTGGATTGGAGTGTGCTCCCCATACATTTTCCAGGGAAGAAACACGGGCGAGGATTTTTGAAATTAAAGAAGATGGGAGGAGAAGAAAGGGATTATCCTAAAGTATAAGGTAAAAGTTAGGGATAAGAACTATCTAACCAACAAGAAGTCAATACTTGACATTATAAGTCAAGATACAATTCTCATTCTTTGGATTGAAACCAAGCAAGCAGAGATACTAGACCTCTTGAGAGAAGCAAACTTCAAATGTATTAAGTCTTCACAAAAATTGGACAGAGTAACGACTGTATACGGGTGTTGGCTCCCAAATTCTACACTTACTATATTTGGTATTTTTAGACCAAAAAACTGGAATGAACCAAGTCAAGAAGAACGTTTCGACTTATGGAATAACTTAGGAAAAATATCTAAGTTATATTTGAGCCTTCGACCAGAGGTCACCTTCAGGCCTGTTCGACTGAAGAGGACTTATGTCCTTCGACGGAGAGAAAATACCTTCACTTTGACACATGATACGAGAGATATTTGAATTTTGAATTATTGGAGGGAAAGGCAGTTTCGCCAGCGGCTAAGAAGAAGCAACGTGGCTGAAAGCCATAGGTCGAGGGACATGCAGAAGACACTTGTCTTCATCTTAGCACAGAATGATCCCTCGACGGTTACTTATCTTTAGTATAAATTAGGAAACTTGTGTAGTTTTTGAGGGTGTTCAACCTATTGTACTAGTCACTCAAACATTATCCAAGTAACCGCTGCGTGAGAAAGGATAAAACTGAGAAATGTACGTTGGAAACACCTATTTTTATTAATGAAAGTCTTTTACATTACTTTAATATTATCTTGCAAAGTTATCTTTCTCACTTCTTTACCTGCATTTTCACATTTTTGTCTACTTTTCCAAAATCTCAAACATCTTTTCTCTGGGTCGAATGTGCGTTCTTCCTGCTTATCTGTCTTACATAGGAATTAGCATATGTTCTAGGATTAACCTGATCGATCCCGTAAGTAAACCAAAAAGAACTTTCCTTTTTGGAGATCAGCGGTTGTTTACCAAAAACCACGGTAAACAAATTGGCACACCTGGTGGGACGTTACTAATTCTTATTAAATATCTTGTTTATGTTATTGAGTTTTTCCTGTACAGTTATAACATTGCATGTTATTGAGAAGTGGTAAAGTAACCAACGAGTATACTGTTAGGAAGAAAAATAGCGAGAGTGATATGGCTAACGAGCCAAATCATGGATAAATACCTCCACCAATTACTGGAACAGTGGTTAATACCGTTGTCGAAGGGAATATCCCAACTTCCGTTGGATCAATACCAACGTTAACTACAAATCAAACTGGACCCTTACTTTTGTATGTAGGTCCAAGAGGTCCATTAGGAACGCCTCCACCAAGGTTAAACCTAGGATCCCGATCATTTGTGCCCCCAGGCTTTTCGACAACCTGGATGGGTCGAGAGTAGCCATATGGCATGCCAACTACTGAAATGGCTAGCCTTATGAATGTTGCTTCCACTTTTTCAGAACCTTTGGTGAACGCAACATCGCCATTACAGGGGTCTGGAGCCAGTAGAAACCAATTCTTGGGAGGGCCATCTCATGTAATACCAAGCCTCAAGAATGTTTCGACAGTAATCTTGAGGCAACAGATGGACGAAAGTAATCATGAAATGGTACAAATGTTAGCACAAACTCTAAGTACAGTGCTAAACCCCCTTATACAAACTGCTA